ATTTGTTGATGTCTAGTTTCTTGAATTTTTATATAATTTGGATATTATCCCTCTGTCAGATGTGGCATTGGTAAAGGATCTTTTCCCATTCCGTGGGGTGCAGTTTTGTCCTATTGCTTTACAGAAGATTCTCAGTTTCATGAGGTCCTCTTTATTAATCATCCTTCATCCTGCCTGCGCTATCAGTGTTCTGTTCAGGAAGCTGTCTTCTGTGCCAATGCACTCAAGACTATTTCCCACTTTCTCTTCCTTCAAGCTCTGTGTATCTGGTTCTGTGTCAAGGTCTTGATCCACTTGGACTTGGGTTTCATGCAGAGTAATAAATATGGACTTATTTGCATCCTCTACATGCTGAAATCCAGTTAGACCAGTACTGTTTATTGAAGATGCTTTCTTTTTTCCCCATTGTGTATTTCTGGCTTCTTTGATTTTATTCCACTGATAAAAGTGTCTGTTTTTATGACAATACCATGTGGTTTTTATTATTATTGCTCTGTAGTACAGTTTGGTATTAGGGGTGGTTGTACCCCTAGATGTTCTTTTATTGTATAGGATGTGATGCTGATGTTAGCGCTCAGATTATATATAGGTATAACCATAAACAAAACACATAGTCACTATTAAATTCGGTTCAAGATGTTACTTAAAATAGAGACAGAGGATTACGCATTGTCCATATCCTACTCTGAGGTATTGTGGTATATCGAGCAACTAAAATATTCTCCATCATGACAGTATAGATCAAAGTGAACAAGACCCTTGTTGTTCATATGGCCCTTACATCTGTACCTGTGTGGATTATATAATTAAACCATGGTTATATGGTTATTAGTTTATCCTTATTTTTTGCTTTTGTCAAATATTATCTTCTGGAGTATATATTTGCCTGAATGGGACAGAAAATTTGACTAATTCAGCCTCAGTAGAGAAAAGCTTTTAGGCTTGTGGTAGGGTAGAACATCATGCTGGGTAGAGCATGTGAGACATGCTAGCCATCTCATCCGGACCAGAAGTAAAGAGACCATACGTAACCATCAAAGGACCACTCTCAGTGACCCACCTCTTCTAACCATTCCCACACCTTACCATTTCCAGAACCTCACCATCAAGGACAAAATATTAAAGTCCAGAGCGTGTAAAGGAAATCTGTATTTGAACTAGGACTGGAGTATACTGAAAACACACAATGAGTTACTTGTAACAAGTCACCCTTTTCACACCCTTGTTCCCCAAGGTAGCTATTTATTCAATTCTAAAGCACATTTTGCCATAGAAGGTATGAACTCTACTTTTCTCCATCAATTGTATTTATCCTTGGAAATTAAAGGTATTATTAACTGAAATCCTGGGAGAGCCTTGTTTATTTTGGCACTTCCGACCTACATGGTAATTACTGTTGCTATATACAGCCAGAATAAAAATTGACACAGATTTTTGCTCTCTAACCTTCTTCTTAAGAATCCCTTGCATCTCTGAATTTAAGACTGAGCAAGTTAGTCACTCCTACCATTGGCCTATGAGAGTTTATGAGTCTGGGCCTGGGACACTCTTGCTGGGAAGAAGTTCCTCATTCTCCATTTTTCTTCAAGTAGAGGAGGTAAATCCATATCCTGGAAGAGACTTGTATTACAGGAGCTGTAAGGGTTTGAAGACACTATCATAGAGGTATTGCAGTGAGTGTGACAGAGAGATGTAGACAAGAACAAAAATAAAGGAGAAGAGGGTAGATTAAGTGTCAAGAGTGTAGCTTTGTAGCTTTGACACTCTTTGTCTCCTAGAAGAAACAGTTGGAATATACTTTGTTTTTTTCATTTTTTAGGCACACAAAGCTTATTACTGGATTTGAAAGATGTCAAAGATCATGTGTTGTAATTTAAAGACAAATTTCAAAGTAGCCTCAATTCTTTCCAAGAGCATAATACAAAAATTACGGCTGTTCGTGGAGAGCTTACTAGAGAGAAGTTGCCAATTAACAACTATTTTCTTTTCTTTTTCTTTTTCTTTTTCTTTTTTCTTTTCTTTTTTTTTTTTTTTTTTTGCTTTCACCTCATTTTGAGCATTGGCTCTTTCCAGATCCCATAGTTGCAGTTGTACAAAGTTTCCATGGAGATAGTAATAGTGTTTGTCTGTGTGCCTTCATAAATGAGACTTCCAGGATAATTTGCAGGCTCCGTCATCATGTGTGACATTTTTACAAGGTAATTGGCAGAAAGGTGCATTAAAAAAGGAGCCAGCTGTCAGATTCATATCTTCCTCCACATCCAGTATTACTTTCTTTTAAAAAGACTACTTTTATTTATGTGTATTCATGTATGTGCACGTGTGTTTACATGTCCCAAAGGCCAGAAGAGAAAATTAGCTACCTTGGAATTGGAGTGCTGGTTGGTCATGAGGCATCCAACATAGATTCTGAGAGCCAAACTCCTGAACACTACAAGAGCAGGAAACCATCTGAGCTCCTGAGTCATCTCTCCAGCCCCTGACACTATTTCTGTAGGATCTCAGGCTATGACATGAGAGCTTTTGTGTTTCTACTGTAGCTACAACTTTGATAAAAAGACTCTCAACTTGAAATGGTGGTATTCTAGTTTGCTTAGTGAAAAAGTTAGTATAGGAAAAAATATAAATACCTATGTTAAAATCAATAAAAATGTTTAAGAATATAAGGATTCTGCAAAATCAATTGAATGTGAATCTTTATGATAGGGTCCTTTTACTCCCAAAGTAGAATTGAATTTAATTATTATTTGTATTAATCACTTTTATGTTGCTGTAGTAGAATTTCCTAGGTGAAGGGGGGGACACTTTGGTCAGCCAGGATTTATTTAGTCTTACAAGAGTGTAGGGGCTTGCCTGGTAGCCAGTAGGCAGAGAAATCACATTTCATCCTCACATTGATAGGACTTGGAGAATGCAAGTAAGAGTGCGTGTGTGTGGGGGGGCCTCTGGGAAGGGTTGTATAGAGAAGGAGATAAAAAAGACAAGAAATAGAGTCAAACCTTGGAAGTGAGAATTCTGTAATTTTGATTTCTTTTAAAAGCATAGAAATATTATAAGATGATGTTTTTATTTTAACTCCAGGTGTGGGAATAAGAGGCTGCTTCACAGCAGTTGACTATGATTTTTCTCCTGTTCTAACAGGGATGTGGGTTTGCCAGCTGCAGATATTTTCTGCAAATGTGTGACCTTTGGAATTCTGGGAACTTTTAAGAGAATATCATAATATAATGTATATTATATATTATATTTATAATATATGTAAATGCTAGGGCTGGAGAGGCTGGGTTGCTGTGCTGGCGGGTTGGTCACTGGGTGCTGTTGGTTACAGTTTGTTGCAGTTTGTCGAGTAGTTGTGCACAAAGAAATGAGACGAAGAAATGAAATGTCCTGTAGCAACGGTTAAACTTTCCCCAAGGAACTTGACACCTCTAACCAGCAGGAACTAGTCTAATGATAACAATACTCTCTTTTCTCTCTGTTCTTTTTTTCTCTCTTGTTTGGTGTTATAGGGCTAATAAGGGTGGAGAAAAGTGGTGGAAAAAGGGACACACAACACAGCCAAAAGTCCGGCTACAAAACCTCAACATCAAACCTGAGTGTTTCTTCTTCCAGCAAGACTTTATCTCCTACAGATTCTATAACCTGCCCAAAGGGCACCATAGGCTGGACACTAAGTGTTTAGACACATGAGCCCGTGGGAACAGTTCACATCAAACCACAGCATTGCTTTTTAAGATATATTAGATATAAAATATGTGAAATATAAACAGTATAAAGATCATGAAATAAAACTTAATCAGAATGTGAGAGCCCCCATGCTGTAAGCTCTTTAGTCACTCTTCCCTTAAAGATATCAACTAATTCAACCTTTAACCCCATTGTCTTACTGTTCCACTGCTGTAAAGAGACACGATCAAGGCAACTACTACTACAGAGAGCATTTCACTTGGGGCTCGATGCCGTTTCAGAGGTCATCCATTATCTTCATGCAGAGGGGTGTGGCAGCATGCAGGCAGCTGTTCCTGGAGCAGTAGCTGAGAGCTACATATTTACTCCTAGATTGCATCGCTGTGCCTAGTGTGGGCTTTTGAAATCTCAAAGCCCACCTCAGTGGCAAAGACCTCTTTAATTTTTCTCTCAAATAGTGCTGCACTATGAAGATCAAGCACTAAATTGTGGGCATTCTACTGTGGGCTGATGGGGCCATTCCTATTCAAACCACCACACTCATAAATTAGTTTTGTTATTATTATTAATACTTTCTTACTATAAGTGAATTTATTTACTCTACTCACTTGTATCTGGCTAATCTGAAAAATTCACACACTATAAAGAAGCCACTCACAGTGATGTATAATGCTGTATTATATATAAATCTCCCTAACATTAAAGAACCACAAGGGGGATACAAAGTGAATAAAGTGTAATTAATACAGAAAAAAAAAAAGAATTGTTTAAGTAACAGTATTGGTGTTATTAACTTAAAACCATCCCATTATGTGTCATCATCCAGGTTGGTCTTGTCTTGTCTTGTCTTTTCTTTTCTTTTCTTTTCTTTTCTTTTCTTTTCTTTTCTTTCTTTCTTTTTTTAATGTTAGCCTTCCTAGTGGGCAACCATTGGTTTTAAATTGACTAGTAAACTCACGCCAAACAATAGTCTTCACTAAAGAGCCACCATGCACTTGGGAACAGCAAAGTGACCTCTCACAAACAGAGATGTTTTGACACCAAGATCAATAAAAGTGTGGATCAAGTGACACAAGCAGAAATGTTCAGCATATGCAACTATGTCTGTCCTAAATCTTGCTTATCTTCAAGAAAGCATTTATTTTTGGATCCAAAAGCTATGAGCATAGGCTTGATATTCATGATCTAAGTGCTGGCATTCTGATGGTGGAAGATGTAGCATAGATGAAAACAGGAAGGATTGTGTTTTGGTTAACAATTGGGCTTTTATAGCTGATATAAGAGGCTGACTTGTATTTTTATAATCTTTGCAGGGTCTCCGTTTTGGTGCTTATTGGATATTGTTCCTATAAAGAATGAGAAAGGAGATGTGGTCCTTTTTCTGGCCTCATTCAAAGATATAACAGACACGAAAGTAAAGATTACTTCAGAAGATAAAAAAGAAGGTGCGTATGGTTTCATAAAGCATGGGCAGCTGGCAAATAGTATTCTGAAGTTCACTCAAAAATTGGAAAAGAAAAAAAAATGCTTTGTTGGATACCAGGGGTGGAACTAGTGTTAACACTTAGTCAATATTTGGTGTCTATAAAAAAAAGCAATGAAAATGTACATTTACAGTCTCGTCTTTGTAACGACCACTCCCTTGACAAGAACACAAAGTTCACATACCTCTGTGACTCACATGAAGCTAAGAAAACAACATCACAATGTGTTTCACATCTCTTCAATTCATCAGGAAATAAAGATGAATGGACTGGATAAGTGGCATTAAAATGATGTGATTAAATATGTAGACATGTGGATGTTATTTGGTATATGGTAGGTAGAGGTGCAGTGTGATGGGTGTTAGATAAAATGTTACCCAGAGACGTGTATCATGTACATGTAACATATATTATTCTGTATGCTAAGCTTATTCAAAGTCGCAAGCAAGCTTTACAAACATCTTTAAAAGGCTCTAAGAGCTTATATTGTTTACCTCCTGTTCTTTAGTAGCTTATTAAGAAATTGCTTCAATCCCCTGCTGGCTGGAGTCTTTCAGAGTATGTCTGTGGCAGGCTCCCTTCCTGTTCCCTTTCTTCCGCTGCTTCCAGTGTCTATCCTGTTTGCCTTTTTGAACGAATTTTAAGGACCTCCCTAGGGTCCTCTTTGTTGTTTATCTTCTTTAGTTCTATAGATTTTGGTATGTTTATCCTATATTATATGGCTAATATGCAGAGACTCATATCCAAACTTTGGGTGGATTTCAGGGAGTCTTATGGAAGAAGGTGGGATAGAAGGACTGGGGAGGGGACAGGGGTTTCACCAAGAAACCAATAAAGTCAAATAATCTGGGTCCAGGGTGTGCTGCAGAGACTGATGCATCAAACAGGGACCACGCATGGAGAGGACCTAGCCCCCCTGTTCAGATGTTGCCCACAGGCAGCTCAGCCTCCAAGTGAGACCCCTAATACAGGGATCAGGGGCAGTCTCTGACATGAACTGGTTTGCCTGCTTTATGAACACTTCTTCCTGGCTTGGTGGCCTTACCTAGAGAATCCAGGCAGTCCTGATGAGACTTGATAGGCTCAAGTCAGATAGCAGGGAAGGAGGACTCCCCCTTTTTAGTGGACTAGAGGAGGGAGGTAGGGGAGGAAGACTAAGGGAGGGTGGGTTCGTGAGGAGATGAGGGAGGGGACTACAATAGAGATACAAAGTGAGTAAATTGTAACAAATACTAAAATAAAAATTAAAAATTTTTTGTGTTTCAAGCATATTGTCTAACAAAAGTGAAGAGTGAGTAAATGCCAGTATTGTTATAAACAAAAATGAGGTCTAGTGAGCAGAGGAAAAGAGACTGTTCTCCGGGTTTTGTGTAGTAAGTTATTTATTAGAATCTCCTGCTTGGTATTTCAACCCTGACTTTGAGGAGTGGACTCCACTTTTAAAACTTTGTAAGAATATTCCACATGCAGTGTTGCATGCAATGGCAATCCGGTGGGAAGGATATTGGCTTTAATTTTGTACTTCTGCTTTTGAATCTTTGTAAATGACAGCCTTCCTGCGTATTAAAAGATGCAGCTAGTGTTAAACAGCAACAGCAACAAGAACAAAACTCTCCACGAGGTATGGCCCCACTCAAGCTTATCTGAAATACTGCAGTCCATCTAAGTGATGTGAATTAAGTATTGATCAGTTAATTCCCCACAGCAGTTCATTTGATGGACTTCACTTAAAAATTACAAAGTGTGTGATTTCTGTATAAACAAGTACTTGAATCAGCAATTGCTAGATTTCTGGGGTTTTATTTGGAATGAAGAAAATCAGGCTTTATAGAAAGTGCTACTACGTGTGTAATGGAATGGAAACAAACCACTAATCACAGCACTGTGGACTGTTGGTACCTGTGAAAGTTTTCAATTTGTGATCCAATATGCATTGATATTGAGTGCGTGTGTGTGGAGGGGGGAAGCTCAGTGTACAGCATGAGAACCTTACGACCAGCAGAACTGGCTTGAAGTAAGAGTGAAGTCTAGATGTGTCCAAACCCTGAAAATCTTGATACCAGTAGGAGTAAGGATTACTCCCACCCTGTTCTGTGCCTAAATGCCCCATGCATGGAGTCTTGTGACTCCCCCTTCCCCTACCTCCACCATTCTCGAGGTTGTCATGTTAGCCTGGTGACACGGACAGGTCCAGCTGGCCCCTGGAATTGCTTTCCATGTAAACGAGGCATTCCCAGTACCTCAGCCCATCCAATGATGTACACTCACCTGAAAATTTGTGCCTGCTTCCCCAAGGTTCATAGAGCCCTTATCCCCCCTCCCCCCATAAAGAGAGCTGTATCACTGGAAGAGCTGTGCCACTGAAAGGACTTATCACTGGTAGGTACCCGGAAGGGAAGAACAGACCCTGGGCTCTGTAACAACAGCTCAGCAGAAATCTTCTATTCGTAAAACAAAGCGTAAAACTCTTATATCTTTGTCCTTGTCTACAACTGTGTATCAAGATAATTTAACACAAAATGCTGTTTAATCTTTTCTCATTTAATATAAAATTTTAATATATATATATTAATGAATTTGACAATTTGTGGTGATCTGAAGTCTTTCCTTTCAGTCCTACATCCTGAAAAGAAAAAGAAAACATTATTCTGTCTTAATGTGAGTAGCTGGTGTTGACAAAGGTTTTCTGATCAGAAGAGTCTCAAAAGCATGGGAAATTAACAATTTTTTTTAAATTGAAAAAATAAACACTTTTGAATTTAGCAGCTGCTGGAATTTCAGTTTCTTTTTAATGCATTTGGATATAATTAAATAAATGTAATGAAGTAGATTTAACTTTCAGCGTTACGTTTAACATTTAACATAATTGTAAAATAGTAATAGTGAATTGAATAGTTCTGCAAATGTCAACTAAGCAGCATCTGTCAGCGGCTCAGTGAACATTTGGGATGTCATCATCCGATTCTCCTCTCAAACCCTGCAGCTTCCAGCCAGTGACAAGAGGAGTAGGAGAGAAACAAGTGTTCAAATCTGTGTCTCTCCAAGAGGAGGGAACTGTGAAGGGCAGAGACCAGAGAGAGGCCCTAAGAGACTTCGTAGGGAAGTGAAGGAAGAGGAAGGCAGAGATGTGCTCATGGTGGTGTGTCTGTGCTGGGACCAGGGTGCTCAGTGACAGCCCCTTTGAGAAGTCAGGGACTGAGGTCAGGAGGCACCAAGGACTTGTCCAAGGACACAGCTCTCAGAGAAATGGTAACAGGCTGGAGGTTTTTTGTTTTTCAATTTTAAGATTTATTTATTATTTATAATCTGTACTCCAGAAGAGGACACCAGATCTCATTATAGGTGGTTGTGGGACACCATGTGGTTCCCGGGAATTGAACTCATGACCTCTTAAAAAGCAGCCAGTACTCTTAACCTCTGAGCCATCTCTCCAGCCTCAAGCTGGAGTTTTTAATGGCTTTCTAGGGCACAACGCAGCAGGCTCTCCCATGCTCCCCAAGTTGTGTCACCAACTGGACTCTTCACCCCAGTACATTTCCTCACCAGAAAACAACATCCCAGACCCAGGAGCCTCCCCCAAACCCTCTCCTTGCCCTCTAGTGAGCCACATCTGCTTTGTGTCTGTGGCTTTGTCTGTTCGGGACATTTCTTATACATGGAGTCATAAAGTGGGTCACACACATCACATATCCCGCTCTGTGTTTAGCTTTTCTCACTGCTTTTTCTTTCAAGGTTCACCAGGTGGCTTTGCTGGTGCTGCTTTTGTTTGTTCGTTTTTTGTTTTTTAAGACTGAATAATAGTATTCCTTCATACAGATACATATTATCCACCATCAGCAGAGAGAGAGGGATGTTTTCTACTTGGCTCTTAGGGAAACATTCTGCTGGGAACATTTTCTGTGTGGGTTGGTGTGGACTGCAGAGTGAGTGTTTACAATGTAGTGCATGCTCAATACATGTTTTAAAATGGATGAATGATAGATAAATATATGAACGTGTAAATAAAATCTAGTTTAGGAAACTGGGCCTTCAGTAGTAGACAACAGTATAATATTCTTGCTGCTTTGTACTGCTTGGATCCTAACTTTGAAAGGCGCATGTCTCAGGTGTTCAAGCTGATAGGCACATGGCACGCTTCTGTTTGGCTTGATTTGGCAACCAGCTCTCTCTCAAAACATGATCCAGTCTCAAATGAATTAGTTTCAAATAGAATTACTGTAGTTAGCTAATTTTTTATTCTAGTTGATTCTTCCACTTATCACTCAGTTTCTAATAATCTCAGTTTGGCATTATTTTGAAAGGTAGATAAGTCATTTGTTGAAAAATTATAAAAATATTATCCAGAAGGACAAACATTAAGCCACTGATCAGCTATTAATTAAATCTAAGATGATTTTATGTACTTAGAATATTTTAATTTTCATTTGAGACATTATAATGATTCTCTTCTCATTTGCCAGAGGATTATTGTTTTGTTGTGTTGTCATTTTTGGCATAGTGGGGGAAACATTTACAAAGAGCTGTTGCTGAATTAATGAGCTGTGTTAAGAATGGACACTTTCCTACAGGAGGCAGAATTCTGCCAGAAATCTGTATTGATTCTTTATATAACATATTCTAAAATTTACATAGCTATATTGATACCTAAAGGGTTCAAATTTATTGTATTTTTATTTGAATACACATAATTTTCAAAAGCCCAGACTTTGAATTTTTGCCTTTTGAGCTAAAAAGATGTGCTGAGCTAAATGACCTGGACTGAGATGTAAAAGCCACTAAATGCTTCCTGGTATCATCATTCCAAAGGAAAACATATATTTTGCAATCAGTTAAAGTATACATGTGTTTTGGCTTCATACTATTAGTCAGCAGCTTATGATCTTGGGTAACATCCTTATCAAGTTAATATCTGTTTTGTTTGACTTTGTTTTGAGATAGGTTTCCATTGTGTAGCTCATGAT